AAGGTCCAAATTACGGATCGAAACGTTTGGTCTATTGAATAAAGAATTCTTTTTATACACCTCCATCTGGTATATANTGCCTGTATCGGCCTTTTTTAATTTCTTTGAACCTGTCACGGGCGATTGATTGATTGTTTATATAAAACGTCTCGCGTCTTCCAGCGTCGTTGACGCTTTCGCTGCAATCGTCTGGCGCGCGCGGTGCGGTTTTATTTGTACTAAATATACACACAATGTCATGCGTGTAACAACCTTTTTTTTTAAAAAAATACTAAATACATTGTTGTTATTTGGTTTTGAAAAAATTTTGCGATTGTCGCGCCCTCTCTTCTTCTTCGATTGTCACCGCGCAGTATTTGATTGTTATTTAGTATCAGTCTGCGCGCACAAAAACGATAACGTCGCTGTTGTTGTCGCTGACGTTTCTCGCGCTCCTCGTCGCTTTGACGACGGCAACGTCGATTGCGTCGACGAGATCGATGACGAATACGACGACGAAGAAAAGAGTTGTCGATGAAAGAGAGACTGCTTTCGCGTTCCTACGCAAGTGCGGTTACGTAGAGGACAACGTGGATAACTCGTTAATATCCGAGAGCGCGTTGAATCACGCTGTTTTGCTTTTTCAAGAATTCTATAATCTACTCATAGATGGTGAATTAAACACGGAAACAGTGCGCTCAATGAAAAAACCGCGTTGCGGAGTTTTAGACATCGAGACGCGTCACACAAACAAGGAGCACATATACAAGTGGCCGACAAATCATCTCACATGGAACTTTCTGTTTGCCTCTAGAGCGAATCTACAAGTAGCGGAGGCAGCGTTCGCGCTGTGGGCAGCGAATTCCTCGCTGACGTTTACACGCAGCATGCACATTCTAACAGTGATTTCGTATAAAGGTGGACAGCATACTATGTGAAACAAGCATTACTGAGATACTTTGGGTCCGTTTGACTTTGATGGTCGAGGTGGAGTACTCGCTAACGCGTATTATCCCACCGGAAATATCGAACATGTATCTGAGATACATATTGACAATGAGGAACAATGGCACGTGCAGCTCACTGAAAATCCATCGAATAAGGATTATCTGTTGCTCACGCTGACTCATGAAATCGGACATGCAATAGGAATAGAGCACAGTTCACACGACAATTCGGTAATGTACGCGTTTGTACCTGTTAAACAGTGGCCTGTTACGCTCAGCCTGAATGATGTTCTGGCTGTGCAAAACCGTTATGAACCTAACCCGGATGCATCTAAACTACTACCGGTCTCTACATTTGTCCCTCCGACAATTGCACCGCCAACAACGACAACGACGGCGCTGCAGCCGCCGTCGCTGCCGCGTAAACTCAAACCTCTACCGCCACTTAAGAACGCGTGCGAAATGCACAATCCCGACCATCCGTCCCGGCCCAAATAACGGCGCATAGCGCCGCATAAACAATTAAAAAGGGCAGCGGGTATTAGATACACGCTGACGGCGTACCGCCCGCACCGCGCGCTCTCCGCGCCTTCAAGCGGCATGCGCGCCGCCCGCACCGCGCACTTTCCCGCGCCTACAAACGTCAGCTGATATCGCGCCCGCACCGCGCGCCCCGCCGCGCCTCGAAATAAGCAGCGTGACAAACAAACAAGTGTTTTTCCGCGCATCTTGTCAACCCCGCCCGCGGAAAACTGCGGGTATATAAGCCGGGCCAAAAACCGAGAAGATCAAATCTGTTCCGATCTCCGGATCAACAGAGAAGCACCTAGGGAAGCTCCTTCTCGGTCGGGCAAACCGACAGCGATTCTACGATCCGATCCGCTCCGGGGAATCTTAGATTCTCTGCCGGGTAAACCGGCATCCGCTCCGCTCCGCTCCAGGGAATCTTTGGATTCTCTGCCGGGTAAACCGACATTCGCTCCGCTCCGTTCCGAGAAATATTTTGATTCTCTGCCGGGTAAACCGGCATCCGCTCCGCTCCGCTCCAGGGAATCTTTGGATTATCTGCCGGGTAAACCGGCTTCCGCTCCGCTCCGCTCCGGGGAATCTCCGATTCTCCACCGGGAAAACCGGCTTCCGCTCCGCTAGATCTGCTCCAGGGGAATCTCGTATTCTCCGCTGGGTAAACCGGCTTATTCCGCTAGAACCGCTTCAGGGGAATCTCGTGTTTTCCGCCGGGTAAACCGGCCTATTTCGCTAGAACCGCTCCAGGGAAATGAGCAAATAACGGCACCGTACTAAGCCTAGCAAGGAAGACCGTCCGATCAACAAAGATCACTTTTCGTAAGAAAGAGACTTTCTCACGGAATAAATATTTTTCCAGATCTGTAAACGCGCTTTTCAGAGCATCGCCGTTTAAATCACTGTTTCGTAAATAAGCGACTTTCCGTGTGTAAATATTTTTCCAAATCTGAATGAATATCTTACGAACTTGATAAAATCACGTTTCAAGCACCGCCGATTGAACCGCGTGTACCGAAGCTCATTTTAGTATATAATATTTTTATTTTGGTGTAAATATCTTTCTTCTTTTTTTTTGAATAAATTCTATCATTTTTCTTGTTCTAAAATTAACCGAGTTCACTCTATTTTTACCTTACCCTGATCCCGACGAGCTATTCCGCAGCAAATATTAAATTAACTGAAACAAAAACGGACTAAACTTCGACGAGAAAAAGTAGGAGCGTTACACTGTCATTAACACTGCGTTTCAATCTCCTGTGGGACACACCTACATCAATTTCAACAACGATTCCGTGGCCGTTGTAGACGATTATCACTTGAGAATTAAGAAATACAAAATTGAAGCAAATTGAAACTAATGTTTCCAGGAAGTCCGTCAAGTATGTCGCTAGCCTTTCGTAATTCAGATGGCCATGTGTACTTTCTGTACTCTGACAGATATCTTGCGTTCAACAAATTCATCAATTTCATGCACTCTGCGGGACCTTTCAATATGAGATTAATTGATATCCACTGTCCGGATATAAACATTTTATACAACTTAAAGTCCCTAGTTTTTCACCTCGAAAAGTACGAACACGCTCTTTATTCTGGGTAGATATACTGCGATCGTTCTGTGTGCTACGAGTTGTTGCTCTTTCTCTTACTCCTCTTCGCAACAAACTGCTCAACGATGTTTTGCTCGATGGTTCCGATGAAGCTACAACAACAATTGTTCATCGATCTTCAGCGCGAACCCCAACACAACGGCGCAAAGAGAAAGAAGTTCAATCAAGAGTAAGTATTTTTGTTTTGCTTTCTTTTTTTGTTGCTTTTATTTTATTTTCTTTTTTTTATTTGCGATAAAATCATGTTTTTTAGTTTTCTTATGCACAGACAATGCGATGGCGTTCAGTCAACACCGATTACACCCAACGTACCGGCAAAGCGTACGCGGATACTGAGCCGCAAATACATCTTAACCAAAACGGGGTACAAGTATTTCGAACTCGGCATTGGTATGTCAATGATGTACCACCAACCGTTGACATAGCTCTAGGCGACAACAATGGGAACGAGGTGCTTATGTCGTCAGAAATGTGGAAGGTGTTGTTGGACAATGAACGAATCATTACGTCCTATTTGTCGCAGCAGAGCGACGCGCAGCCGCCGATTCGTGTAGACGATCTGGCGGTATCGTTCAGCTTGATAAACAACGCAAAGATTATGCGTCTGACTACAAAGAATAGCCGCATAATATTGCCCCACTAATCGATGTGCAACTTGTTCAATTAAAAACATTGCGTTGCGTGCATCGTCGCCTATTTGAACGACGCTGTTATTTGCGTGCGAAACAGATTGTCGCGGTATTTCTCGATCCAGTCTGAATTATCCGATCCCGCCAGCTTCGCAAATGCTGTCACACAGAGCGGTGACTTCGACGTCAACAATATTGTCGATTGCGAACTGTTAGTAACTGTATGTTACGGCGTTACGCCTTAAAGAAATATTATTATTTTGTTGTTTTACTCTCATTTATGTAACTTTATTTTTATAGAACATAATAAAAAATTGCGCTGTTCTTCAATAACACAGTGTTTTTTATTTCACATTTCCTAACCACATATGCGTTCCCATTAAAACATTTTTTTAAATTGTAAACACTTTTTTTACCTAATAGTCTTCGAGAAATAAACACACACATCTAGGACGTAACGGTTTTTTTATTTGCGCGCCTTTTTAATACTAAATACTTATAGTATACGCGCACCGGAAGTGTGTAAAAAAACCACATCTGGTACGCAACGGTTTTTTATGCAAATGTTTTTGCTGGATACGACTCATTATACCGAAAGTGATTCATCGTTGCGAGCGATAATAGAATTTGCACTTCCGGGACATTTGCGATTTTTCTCGAAATTTTTATTATTTTACTGCGCAATTGAAATATCTAATTAAAAGATAATATTTATTTTAGCGATGACGTTATAATCCAAACGACCGTGAAAACGTTCGATCTGTTCAAGTTTTATTTTTAGCGATGACGTCATCATCCGAACGACCTTAAACACGCACGGACCTGTTCGAGTTCTATTTTTAGCGATGACATCATTATGTTTGCGGTTTTTCTCGGAATTATTTATTTTACTGCGCATTTTAAAATCTTAATTAAGAGGTAATATTATTTTAGCGAAGACGTCATCATCATCCGAATGACCTCGAACACGCACGAACACGTCCGCGCAGACGCCGAACGACCTTGAACACGTTTGAACACGTTACAACCGTTGACGCCATCGATAACGCTCACTTACCTGAAATAAACACGTCGAATAATGCATTCTCCATTTTTACTGCTCGTCGCTAAGTGGCTAGTTCCGGTGGAGCCAATAACAACGCTCCGCCGACTCCACTCACACTCCTACGTTATTTAATTTGCAAGCGGCAACGCTCCGCCGACGCCACCCACACTACCACGTTATCTCATCCGCAACGTCCAAGTCCTCCGATACTGCTCTCATTATTACGACTATACAGGGTCCGCCACTTAAGTCCGGACAAATTTGAATTTGACATTCCCATCATATTAGAATGCAGCAGTAGGTGCCATATGACCTAAAGATAGGTTAGAGACGTCGATAAGACATTAATAACCTTAAAATGGCCGAGTCGTTCAGGAAGACGCCGGAATATAATCGAA